ATACACAGTCTAATGGTCTAACGAAATCCAATTTTAAACATCTTTTACTGTACCCATTTTATGGCCCTTATATTACCTATTTGAGCCAATGCAGATAAATGAAGTTACCTCAGGACCAGACCGCCCTGATTGTAATGCAAACGTGATTGGCTATAGCGAGATCGTGCTACGATTGGTCAGTGAAATGTAGCTGTTATCTGATTGGCGTTGAGTAGACGGTGGGTGGAGACCACGTATTTGTGGATTGTCAGCACGTCTTGACGCAAGAAATGTTTCACAATTCTCAAATGCACAGGACGCGATTCACAAATGCGTCCAGCTGTCTACAAATGCACAGGACGCGATTCACAAATAAATGCCAGGCAAAGTTGTGGTTGTGACATAAATATATATTTGTGAATGTGTTTTTTTTATTTGCAAATTTCATTTTCTATTTGTGAATTTAATTCATGTTTGTGAAACTTTAAGATTTATTTGTGGATCTCATTCTATTTATTTGTCAATATGTTTAATGTTTGTTAATCTCTTTACATTTAATTATGGATCGTAATCTATTTATTTGTAATTAAGCAACATGACAAATTAAGCATTTCCATGAACAAAATAGGCTTTACCATGAACAGTAGCTAACAAACATTAATAGAAAGTGTACAGTGGACCTGGCAAACAAGGTAACACACAACACTAAATAACGTAAAAATAAATAAATAACTGAAAACAATTCTACAATATAATTGCACGTGTTGACCTGTAAATACATATTTTCATCGTATATGGTGAAGTAACTTACAGTTTACCTATTTAAAGGTTTTTACTGTAACATTTTACAGTTTTTGCTTTAAAATGAACCTCTTTACGGTGTAAAGTCAGCCCATATGATAACTCTATACACGCATGTCTAAAATGTAATTGCAGGGGTTCATATTCCTAACAGTTTGTTAGTTAATCTACCACTCTTGCATAATAACCACGCAGTTACTAAAGTCAATAATAATAGCTAGATAGCTAAACCCAACGCCCAGACGTTGTTAACCAGCAGTGGGGTCCTGCAGTGTGGCAGAATTTCTTTTTAATTACAGAGTGTGTGTGGACATGGGACCCTAGAGGCCACGTGTAACCCCTCCCACGCTCTCCCAATATTGACACGTGAGCATTTAAGAGCTCGCACTGGGGCAACTCTGGCTCCAGCGATGTGGAAACATTTATCTGAAAATGTAGGTCATTTGCTGCTGTCGGAATTAACAAACAGTGCAATAAACTAGGCCTTGAGGTGCTCGTGCAAGTAAGACTAAAAGCATGCAGAATTTCTGCAACGATTTCGTTTAATTTTCCAAGTGCATAGGCGTGTTCAGGGGCATTTATTACACCCCTCTCGGACTGTTTCGAACAGAAAAGTTCTTACTCGCTCAGAATGTAACGTTAGCAACGATTCAAGAACTATTTGTGGTTACAGTGTAACACAACTAACGCAGTTTATATAACACGACTGTAGTCGACACAATGCATTGGGGTCATTCGTATTATTTTGCTTGTTTATAATCTCTATACAGATTATATATATATATATATAATTAGATAAATAAAAATCAATCTTGCCGCCGATTAACTTTCAGGCCTTCGCAGAATGCACGTATTTTTTTAGCAAAAAAAACATGTAAACATACACACCTTTTTTAACTGGTCCTTTTGCATTTTTCTTAGCCATTGCAAGTGAAAGTTCTTCGACGTTTCTTGTTCTGTAACAATATAATTAGATAAATAAAAATCAATCTTGCCGCCGATTAACTTTCAGGCCTTCGCAGAATGCACGTATTTTTTTAGCAAAAAAAACATGTAAACATACACACCTTTTTTAACTGGTCCTTTTGCATTTTTCTTAGCCATTGCAAGTGAAAGTTCTTCGACGTTTCTTGTTCTGTAACAAATAAACTGACTGTAATTCCAGTCTCAGTTCTGGTACGGATGCCCCGCAAAATCAAATCCCTATGCCTTCACACACCGAGGCCCATAGCAACCCTTCCCCCTTTTGAGTGACTGAAAATTCGACCAATACTGTCCAGACAAAGACGTTGTGGGCGGGGCGAATGAAAATGCAATCCAATCGCTGAGCAGTGGCCGATGATTTATTCAATCGTGTGGATACCTGCGAGGTAAGACCGCCCAGTCCTGCCCCTGTATTTTCCTGCCAGAGCTGGAACGTGGCAAGATTTAAGGTTGGACTTATCGCGAGATCCAATCCATATCTTTTCACACACTGATGTGAATGCAAAACAATTCACGTGATGATCATAATTCTTATCTTTGCGTATAACGGTCGAATGATTTTCTCGTGTTATGTGTGAACTATATAGAGCTTGCGTAGGTTGTGATTTGCAAAATTACTGCTGCCTGGACTCTGGAAGTAAGATTTTTTTCTGCCTCGAATTTACTTGCAAATCTAGCCTGTACAAAACACACAATGAAGGAAACACAGTTGCACGTTACATTAGTTTTACAGATTTCAAAGTTTTACCGAATTCGTCCTAATAATGCTTTATATTGTGAGGGGGTGAAATTAACAACGAAAACTGTGTACTTTTGTCTTGGTACAAATTGTTCCATTGACCCCACCCCCTTTCTGCTTTTGTCCACCTCATCCTAAAGTGACTGTAGTAAGTAGTGTGGAACGTGATACTTATGAGTTTAAAACCCGTTGAAACTTTAATTGTTTTCAAACTGTTATACACTCTGACATTCATATAGGAGAAACTTTAATAATTAAGATTTTCCTTGAATTATTCTGTCGAAACTCGAGATTTCGCGAGAATTCCCCCTAAACCTCTGGCAATGCTGCCACACTACTTATGAATGTCAATCATAGTAAGTGAAAGATAAGAAAGCAAGATTAACTTTATTAATTATACTTAATTAGATCAGTGTAACAGTAAAACCTATTTTTATCCTTTGTAACAACCATCACCACTTAAGTGACAAAATAGTTGAGGAATAATTTGTCCCACGTTTTCTTGACAAAAATGTAAAAATCAACATAATTATAACCGTAATTTACAGACTGGGTTAAAGATTGCAGCTGTGTGCACAAAACTAACTATAACTTTATTAACACATTTATTCAATGCTCCTCAAATATAAACATGTCACAATACTCAGTGTTCGAACTATACCGTGGACTTTGGGGGAGCCCACTTGTTTTTTTCTTATAACGGGGGGTGGCGGGATGGGGGGGTCGTGCGCTTGCGCGTGCCTCAAAAGAGGGCTTACAATAGGCCTAAGACATCGAGAGTCACGCAGACCTATAACAACCCAGCCACAACACATAATTGCGAATAACATGCCTTACCTTAACACAGAATCGACCACAGAGTCCAACGTTTATATTTTTATATCACCCTGACAATACTCTTGCTGTATTAGCATGATAAATTCTTAGATGGATGCTTGGGTTAATGAGGTGTGGGAACCATTTGGACCTTTCCCACCGTTTGGCATGTGTGAGGAAGTGTCATTCATTGTAGGCCTAATTCACAGTGTAAATCTTCAGGATACATTTGCCTATACATTCTGAAGTGATAGTTGTCACAATATAATGTTGCACAGTAGCGCTTTGGATATTACTACTAATTCAGATTCACTATTCAGATAATACTGAATAACACCGATTTAAAAAAAAATCAGTTGGGGAAAGAATTTCACACAATGACCTTTGCAATTGTTTGGCTGCCAAGTTTATTTGAGTTGCACATTGTGTATTAATATGCCTGTGTATAACTTTTTATCATTATGATAATGTACATTAAATAAAAAAAACAATAGTCAAAGTTTGATAATAAGTGAGGACAGCACAGTTAAATAATGTAAAACAGTCCTTTTCTTCTGTCTTTAGATACACTGTCTGACAGAAAGAATGCAACAAACTGAATTAGATTATATACATGGTTTCAGAAATTCACATTTAAGTAAATCTGTAAACATGAAGAGCTCCAGTAAGGTCATTAGTCTCTGTTTATATTTGTTTAAGAGTCAGAGCAAAAGGCACTAGACCAAAGTGCCATTTTGTAATCCCACTTGGTTTAGACTAAATAAGTGCATGTCTTCAGCTGTTTATTTATTTCAAATTCAGCAAAGGCTAATAAATGCTGCAGTTTACAGTTACATTACAGATCATTTGACTTAAGAGCAGCAATATAGTGAAGCAGTTCATGATAACTGATATCTAACTTCTAGAAGCACAGAGACTTATGTAACATCCTGAGTTATGTCCATTGTTATGAAAATACAACAATAAAAACCTTGACATTTCACAAGGAAATAAGAAAGGCACTTTGATATTTCGGTAATGCACAACATTGTACACTACATGTGTTATTTACAAGTGACTGTGGAATCCTTCTTCTAAAAGTAAACACAAAATATGATATCTGATGCTATATTGTAACTTCAGAGGTATATCAAGTACTTGCAGTGAATATCTGTGTGATATAGAATTCAATAAAATCACATTATTCAAAAATATGACTTAGTCAAACTAAGTCTTTTTTTTCCAGTCTGGAATATTAGGAGAGCTAGGCATACAATTTAAATAGTTGCACCATTAATTCATGTACAATATGAAAAAAAGTATAAGTATATAAGCAAAGCATATATGTTCACACTAATATGCTTTACAATTTAAAGGAATGTTTCACCCAAAAACGAAAATTGACTCACTCTCAGGTCATCCACAGACAAATTTGTTTAGAATTGTTTTGGACTTTTTTCCACTTATAAACAGAGCTTAATCTATTTCTCTCCTTATTCATATTAGATGACTTTTCCACTGGAGAAAGCAATATTATGGATAGAGGACTCTTTTTGTTTTTTTTAGCTGGAAGCAACTGTTTGAAGTTAAAAAACAAGTCTTGATTAATTTGTTACAGACATGCAGCTTTTTGCTTCATAAGATGTTCATTGATGGACTGGAGTCACATGGATTACTTGTGGATTATTGTGATGTTTTCATCAGCTCTTTGAACTCTCAATCTGATGGCACCCATTCACTGCAGTGATGTAATGCTAAATTTCTCAGAATCTGTTCCAGTGGACAATCTTAAATGGCCTGAGGGTGAGTAAATTTGAATTTTTGGGTGAATTTTAAGTCAGCAATATCATCCTGATTTTCGGAGACTATATGTAACCTGCCCCAGCAGAATCTGTTACATCATCTAGCACAAAGAGCACATGGTAAGAAATACCTTCATTGTAATCACTCATAGGCAGATGACTGAGAAGCATCGCCTCCACCTAAGTCTAGAGAGAGCCTATAGAGATAGTCTTCAGACTGCATGATGTACTCAGTCCAATCTTGGCACACTTCATCTATGCTGGGTCCGGTTCCTCCATACTCAGGAGGGAGGATAGCCTTCGGAAAGTAATCACAGAGACTTTGGGCATATGAACTCCCATGCATATGAATCTATAAATAAAAACACACCACAGATATTAAATCTTTTAAAGTGAATACACTTAAAATCACACATATATGTACTTAAATGTGACTAACCCGTTGTTTGATTTTGTCTGGAAGAAATGGACGGATCATAGCAAAGACAGGACGGAAAAAAATAGGCTCATTTATCAAATGGATGCCACGTACTTTCAAAGGAAAGGAGTCCTGCAAAATAGATTTGATATTTTGTTATATGCATTTTTTAGGTAATATTAAAACCTTGCTATAAGAGAAAGAGAATCAACAAAAAACTATACAGGACATTGATAAGCAAGTTTTAGCAGATGAAGTTAGGGGTGTTAAAGCCAGATCTTCTACAGAAATCTGAATAAGCGACATCTTATAAATTTTTCATGAAAATGTTTAAATGGATACCTACTGTAAGTACAGAAGATATCTTTTTTGCCAAAGAAGGATTTATCTGCAGGGCATGTGCGAAGCACCAGTCTTGGAGATCAAAAATTGCTTTGAGTCCATTTCTTTGAGTCTCCCATTCTTGAACAATCAACTCTGATGTAATGAGGCTTACACGGAAAACCTCATAAGCTGTGAATTCTTTGGGGTTCCACTGACCTGAAAACATTTGAAATTTTGTGATATTCACCATTATAATGAACAAGACAACTTAAAAAAAAATTATTTGTGTATGTACTTGCCAATCCGATAGATTAGAACTCGACTTCCAGCATCATCTCGTGATCTCAAAACTCCATGGTAATTGTTTTGCAGAAGTCCACTGATGGATGATGGCCGCAGATCAGCTGTTATTTCTGGACATTCTTGTCTTAATTTATGATAGTTAATCAAAAGCTGTGGATAAAAAAATACAAGATCAATGATATGTTAGTCTCAAGTTTTTTAATTTAAGAATATTATTGGGACAAAATCTTAACACATAATTCAAAGAAGAATTGCTCATTACATTTATTATGGTTGGGTTGACATCTGAATGCATCTGAATGTCAGCTATAAACATATACAGTTGTGTAGATTATTGTAAATCCAATTGCTAACATGGCTGAAATAACAAAATTCTAGATTTAAGAAAGAACATGTTGGTGGGCCAGAAATGTACATTTACATTAAATAAAAATGAAGAGGCAGAAAACTTCAGTAAAAAGGTTACTCTAGGCCAGGGGCCTACTCCAACACACATACCATGTAGTTTTCAAATAAGCCTGAAGGACTTGATTAGTTGGATCGGATGTGTTTAATTATGATTGAATCTAAACTCTGCAGGGCTCCTGCCCTCCAGGGGCCAGGGGCCAGTTGTTCAAAAGTAATCTGATCGGATTTGGCCATCGGATTGGATCAAATCTTGAAAATGGGTTGTTCAAAAGAAAAAAAGGATTCTGAATTCGGATTAGATCACAAAATCCAATCTTGGTTTTGATCTGGATAAGACCCACGCCTTATTCAAAACTGAGGTAAATTCCTTACAAAGATATGTAGGTAGCCTACGTAATTCCTCCAGATGTTTAAGAGAGTAAACCAAGATGTAAAATGAATTAATCATATTGCTGTCCAGAGGTGTCATGCCCATTCATTCCCCCTCAGATTTTCGAACCAAGTGGATTTGGAATGCAGCTTCCAAAAGACAAAAAATAGCCGAATAATATTTTTTATAATTGATACAATCACACTGGTGTGATGTGCGGCACATCACTAGCTGCTAAATTCAAATCTGTGTTCACTGACTGGCTCTGAGCCAGAAACAGCTGCGTTTTTACAGCGCTGCGCATTATAACCAATCACACATCTTTCGCGCGCAGAATTGCGGCAGAGATGTAATCCCATAAATTAAGACCTCATCCTTTCTTTAAAAAAAAAGCAGCCACATGTGACCATTCCTTCTGCAAAAAATAAATAAAACAAAATAAAATAAATAAATAAAAATTTAAAGGTATAAAAAATTATTTGTCATACTGTCTAAACTGTTTGTGTGAAGCTTGTAAAGTCATATCATTTTTAATCTGTGTTTCTTAGCTTCTAACAGGCTAGCATGTGTTAAAGCTAGCATAGCAAGATTTATCAGGGTAGTCAGTATAGGGATAGTTGCAGCATGTTGTTGCAACCGTCCCAACATGCTGTCCCTTATCACAACATTGATGTAAAAGCTTGCCATGACATAACAAAATTGTAATTTTATGGATAATAAAGAAACACTTTCAATAGTCTGGTATCTCCCCATTTTAATTTAAGTAAAAAGCTTACCCTCTCTCTGTCATGTAGGCTACAAGCTACATCACATGTACAAACACACACACAAATAACGACTTACAGATGCACACTTGGAATACTTTCCAACATTCACTTGAACACACACACACATTACATACACATACACACACACTCACACTTACCTGCATATCACTTGAACACACACACACACACACACACACACATTACATGCACATACACACACACACACACACACACACTTACCTGCATATCACTTGAACACGTACACACCGACAGAGTTCAGGGGCCAGTTGCATAAACATAGCCACTACGTTAAGACTGTCTTAAGAACTAGTTTGACCAACTAGCAGTTAGCAAAGAGATGAGTCTCACTTTTCTGATTAAAATTGGGCGATTTGTAGTTCAAATGTAATGTAATGATTAACCAAAACATGGTTGTTTCTTGTTACTTGAAAATGTTTTTTTTCTTAGTACTAGATTTGTATTAGATGTTTGAATTGAACCAACATAACATAATCATAGCAGCTCTCCATTTCATGTTTTGATGTGGCATGCTTTCTGCCCAAAAGTATCTATTTCAAATGTAATCACTGCCTAATTAATGCCAGAATCCAGCTACTTTTTTTGTTTGTATTTTTCTCTTGTTTGTATTATTTTTTTTAGTAGTACTGTCATTTCAGTGTTATAATCAATCAATCAATCAATCAATCAATCGTTTGGCACGTCATTTGTCGGCTAACATAGCCTATAGTTAAACTCAAGGACGCACGGATTGAACATCTGTCTGCATGGTGACGTCACGCCTCCCTCGCAATGTAGCGCTCGGCGCAGTTTCCATATTTATATGTCGTTGGCTCGTCATTTATTTGAAAGTCCGCTTTAATATTAATCAGCGATATGAACAGGTTTGCATCGCTTCACGGAGGTATGTACATGAACTCCAAAATTTTAAAACAAACGTAGATAATAAACAAGTCTCATCCACCTTTGTGGGATGATGCAGTGATGATGCGGGTATTATCGCGGATGCTTCCTGCCGACAGCAGTGGGATTAAATGATAACCTTATGAATCTTCTGCGTATTCTGGTACGATTTAATTAGCGAATATTGGGATCATTAATCCGTTTTCCTTTTAATGTTTTATATGAGGCATATATTTGGGGATTTATTTGCGTGTGTTGTCTAATGTTCGACGTTATTCTGTGTATTGCATGTCGAATAGTCCTGGTTGCCATCATGGTTAAACTGTTATGATTTTGATGTTTTATAGGTTACAGGGATGGAAGGCTATATTGATGCCTTGGATGTGCAGGCATTCTGAACGCACTACCCCTGGCTGTGTGCTTTGTCCTGTCTGAACACAGGCTTCCAGTATGGCTCACCAGATAAGGAAACATTGAGCGTTATTTAACCAGGATGAGATTCATATCTAAATAGGCCTTAAGTAAGGCTTTTGAATAAATACACCTGTTGGCAGAATACGATTTGTCTGGCCTGCGGTGCATGGACCAAGTCATGATGTATATCTATGATGATTCAGATTTTCATCAGGCCCAGATGAATCTCTCTTTGCACTTTAGGCTCTCGCTGTACGTGTTCACAGTGGACCTTGATTTAATGTATTTCAATTAAGGCACGCGGTGAATGCCAAGAGCGAAGCCACATATCCTTCAACAAATGCCTGTTTATTACTATTCTAATGTTGTTTCTTTAAATTTAGGTTTAAATGCATTTATATTATATTCATAGTACACTCTTACTATTCACAATAGCATGTACTGTTCATTCAATCAGACAGGTAGGTGAGAATATATGGTGGCTGGAAGAAGTTTTTCAGTCGGTTGCATTGGCAAACTTTCTTTTTGCAAACTCTCTTTTACAAACTAGTTTGCCTACATATCAAGTGGACTAAATTTTGTGAAATTTCAAACAAAATACATAATCTGAGCTGACTTTTTTCATGCCAATTAGATCAATGCAAACAAATCAATTAAAGGTCAACCTTTTTATTTTTTGTGTATTTGTTTAACGTTACGTTACTGATAGGGTTATGTTTTCAATTGTATAATAATAAAATCATTTGAAAATGTGTCAAAATGTGAATTCTACTGTTTGTTTGTTTTTACCTGTGCATTGTGTTTTTGACAGTGTATTGTTGCCCTATAAAGAATAAATAGTTTCAAGCTCCCTCAAGGTTATCGTTAGGTGGTGTTGTAAAAATATCATGCCAGCTACCTCGACTACAACATGATACTGAAAATCTACTGGAAAACAAATAAAGTCTATGCATGAATATTAAAACAGAGTACTGTTTAAACTGAGTACTGGTTACATACTAAACCTGAGTAACTTAAATGCAGAATACATTTTAGTTGTCAACTAATATGATCAGCTTCATTGGAGTTCTTATATAGGCTACTTATGCTTTACTGATGTGTGAAATATTCTGCATAAAAGGAGTAATTTGTAAGCAATTCAGCATACACACATTTCAGGGTTTGAAAGGCCTTTTATGCTGCCTATTATCAGTTTTCTTATTTGCATGACAACATCTACCTCACTGTCTACATAAATTACATATTTACATTTATTTTGTGAGTTGAAATTAATATTTTTTGCATTAACGTTTGCACACTTCTGCATCTGAAGTATATATATTTTAAAAAGGTGCACTGATTAATGCTGCACAGAGGTGGCATACATTTATGCAGGAATTACTGCTGCAGAAATGTTATATTTTGAATTTGAAATTATGATATAAAACCATGAAATGAATGAAAATATGAAATTCTAAATACTGAATGTCATGACAACTGCCAAGTTGAAGGCTGATGCTGCATTTCATTTTACAGAGAAGCAAAGCTTCTGGTGGGTCAGAGCTACCATTTTTTAGTAGGCCCTAGTACTTTTATGCAGCATTGCATCTTTATACAGAATCTGGAGTTACAATTCACTGAATATTACGATAGGCCTATGAATATTAGTATATTGAAAATGAATACAGTTGCAAAAGGTGAAATACACTGCCGCATGTCATGTCTTGTTGCAAATCAATTAACACGTCAGTTCCAGGCGTGCAGCCACTGTAAAGTGGGTAGTTATATATGGTTTGCTGGTCTCCCAGCTTGGTCAGGCTTTCATCTGGTCAGTCTAGGAGACGAGCTTGAACCAGCTAGACAACCAGCTGAGCTAAGGCCAGTAAACCAGCTTCAGACTCCACATGCATTGCACAATACAATTCTTTTAAAAGTGCATTCTGAATTCTGGTGTCTTGTGCATCAATAACAGTTCACATAACTCACACATATAACAGTACACAGACTGTGACAGACTCATTCAGATCTGTCTTCAGAAATAGACGTCAAATGGACTCGTTCAGTGGGAGAGAGTGAACGAACGCGCCTCGCGCACAGTGTCGGGCAAAATGGCGGACAAAACGCCAGGTGGGGCGCAGAAAGCTAACTCTAAGGTATTTTTTGACTTTTCTACTTTACATCTGTATATTAAAATCAACCTTTCTTGTTTAGGATAATAAAATTGGAATGATATTGAGTTTGATTCGGTAGTGTGTCGCTGTGTGTTACGAGAAAGGTCCATTGAGCTGCTCGGTTGTGATGCTAACTCGCTAGCAGTGCGGTTAGCTAACTTAGACAACCGGCGGCTGCACAGATTTTATTTCTGTAATACACATTAACAGACTAAAATTTGTTGGCCATATATGCTGCATTTGATCTTCTTATATTATGTTTCATTATACACCACCATAGAACATGAAATGAGTTGCTTTGTGTTTATTGTTTGCTGACAGGGCTAACACGAGCGTAACGTTAGTCT